CGATTCATTTGCGGACGCAACCGATCACTTACCTGGGTCAACCATCCTGTCGCCACTGGCAACCTGGAGCGAGTCTTCCGTCCTCACCCAGACACTTTGGACTGATGCTGCTTCATGCCGGTGTGGACATGGGACACTGACAGGACTTACATATTAAGAGCGAGTGTAACAAAGCTGACGCTTCATGGTTGTATCGTCTGGAGAGAGTGTGGTAGGTTGAGAAATGTAACGTCTATTTATTCATATTTTAACAGTTTGTTAATGGCTCGTTTTAGCCACAACAGGCACTTAGAGGACATTTGTGAACGTGATATAGGCCAAAATGAAAAAAATGAGTCTGACGCTCCTGTGTTAGTTTTAGACATTGAAGTTTGAGTCTGAAACGCAGGAAATCACTGAACCCAATCAAAATGAAACTTAGATTGAACTCGGCGACTATAGACGAGTCAGATGATGGGGAGACACTCGCGTGTACCTGCGAGAAGGTCGCAAAATTGAGAAACTGGTGTCGGGGACACATGAGACAAATGTGGATTTTTTTTTGTTGTTGTTATTACTCTTATTCAAAAACACAAAGGGAAGCACTGGAGCACAGTCCCAGGGTGACGCGGCTGTAAAGAAAACTCGGCTGCGGTTTTTCCTCACGCAGCAAAGACATGAATAAAAGGAGACGTGAGTAATAAAAGAGCCGGCGCAGATAACAGAAGATGGAAGTGGATAAAACAATTTTTGAGGGGAAAATGATAGGTGTAAAAGAGTGACATTGAAGAAATGATAAAATACACTGGGATAAATAAATCATACAAACAAGGAGGTGCCTGAACAATGTGAAAGCAAAAGATACACTCCAACACATCATCTTTTCAAGTATTGATGAGATTTGCTTGAAATCCTTGAAAAAGGGATGAGAACGGAAGAGACTGGTACAAGGCTGTCAATGCAAAAGTCCCTGAAGATTTAATGATTTTTTTTTTAGAAAATATTCAATTTGGCCTCCTTAGTTTACAAACAGCTGCAGTGTCTGCTCAATGGAAAATAATTTTGTCATTTTTCACACATCCTGGTTGTTTTGAAATATCCAGTCTATGTTTCGAGATGGAATAAATTGAAAAATGTTTGGTAATAACAGCAAGGAATAACAAAAAAAAAAGCCTGACATTTTGAATAAATAAATACAATAACAATGCCTCCACCGTCCAAATTTCACACAGTTAAATGTTACAGATTTCCTCTAATTCTACTGTCAAAGATGATTTGAGAAAACACAAAAGGCAGTTTTCAAAAGATTCTTTTATAAATGAAGAGAAAAAGATGTCCATGCCCATGTCTGGATAAATAAATGTCGTTTAAGTCAACTAGATGTGCAGCCTTTGGTGCTAATCAAAACCGCTAAGTGTTTTTGATGATTGGTGGTTAATCTTTTGCTTCACTCTGAAGCAACGTTACATTTTCTTGCTTTAATCCGTTCATAAGTGGACTTTTGAAACCAATAATTTTCATTTGGTCTGAATCAATTTACTCATTTTTTTCACACATAGAAAACTCCAGAGTGAACCGGTGTTCAATCTGTTCACAAAACTCATTCTGAGATTCCAGTTCTGAAGCCGCCTCAACATTTTCCACTGAACGTCTGACGTTCTTTCCTCCCTGACCTCCTGATTTGTTGATGTGACTCTCGGATTGATTTTGGTTAGCCAGCCAATATTTCATGCTTTCTTCATTTGTGAAAAATTGTTCTCGCCGGCGTTTGCTGGACTCCAGCTGCCTTAGAAATAGTTCTGCAACCCTTCCCAAATGGCTGGATTTTATTTAGTTTCCTTATCTGTTGTTGAATTCCTTTACATCAGCGCACAGGGTCTTTTTCAGACTCTTTTCGCCAACTTAACAATGACAGGCAGGTCTTATTTAAGCGATTTCTTGATTCGAGGGTCTTGGCACTAAACAAGCTTTGTGGCTTTTAACATTTAATTTGGTTTGTTTTTTTTTTTTTTTTTTTTGGAAAGCTATCACATTTAATTCATGGGATCTAAAAATGTGAAACATGGGTATTTCATTTTCAAAGGTTACGATAATTGGCCCTTCAATCTTTCCCTTATTACTGTAAGTGTGTGTCTCTGTGTAGGCTGTGTGATGTATTGGGGGCTTGTCCGGGGCGAACAGACACAACACAGCCTGGAATAAGACGAAGTGCCTCTGTTTATCCTACTTGAATTTGAATGGATTTTTTTATTGAAATGTACAAGATTTCTTTTCACAAATGAAAAGAAATCTTGTGCCAAACACCTCTATGCATGTTTTCTGTAGTGCCTGGTAGATGCAGCACTTATTGGAATATATGTTCATTTGTTTGATCTCCTCTGTTTCTGTTAGTCTAAAGTTTGGGTAGATCCTTATTCAGAACAGTTTGCCTGTGCCGTGTTTGTTAAATGATAGAACATTGGAAGTATGGCTTACGCATTTCAAAACAGGAAAAAGACAAGCAGCTTGTTTCTTTTTCTTGTTTGTTGAGTTCATAATGAGACCATCTGTTCCAAGAGTAGGCACACTGAGTAAAACAAGTTGTTTAGGTAACAGTGAGAAAACAGCCTTTTGATTTGTTCCTACGTCAAAACCGAAGAGAGGAGCAGTGAGTGCGGTGGACTGCGCTAACCATGCTAACTTACTTAGCTGACAGCGTTTATATTTTTAAGGTTTGTACTTCAGTTTTCAGTTCTGCTTCAAGCGTGTTCATCAAAATCCGATAAACTGCAATTAAAAAGAACAAGTTGTATCATTTGGGAGGAAGAAGTTAAGGTTTTGGGCTGATGTTAGCTGTTATCAGGTAGATATTCACTGACTTAGACTGAAAACTATTATTTTCTGATCATCAAGTGGTGCCCCAATATGGTAAATCTGATCCAAATTAGATTAAATTTATTACGTCTTTGGCATTTATTAAGTAGTCAGTTCTATTGTTTCACAACAGCACAATAACATGCAGACGTCTGTCATGGTGAATGAGGACTAGTTGTTTGTCTCACAGAGCCTCACAGAAGAAGAGCTGTATCTTGTATCTCGTTTGAACACAACAGATCTGTAGAGAGAGACAGTAAGATGGCGAGTGTCAAAAAAGGTGAGGCATATGGAAAAATGGAATTAAGAAAACCAAAGTTTTATGTTTGACCCGCAGGACCATGAAGAGAGAGAGAAACTTCAGGCTCTGGAAACTGGACGAGATGATGTCATGAGTGAGAAAACTGCAGCTATCGGGTAAGTCGATCACTTTTACAGAATGATGACACATGTAGGACATGTTGGTGTCAAAGGCAGCGCTGGTTACATCACGGTACGAATGTTATGGTTAATTTGACATATGTAACTTTCAGAAAATAGCTGCGCAGCAATGCTTACAATTACTCAAGAGCAATACAATAATATTTGTAATACAGTAAAACCACAAAACAAAGAGGAAGTAAGAATGAGTCAAGAATAACAAAGTAGTGTAATAATTTAAGAAAACAGTAAAATGCAGTAGTAGAATCAAAATATATATAGTAAATAAACAAATGCCGAGAAATAAAAGTCATTCGTAAAAATGACCTGGTAACATTTTTAAAGCTTTGGGGATTTTTTTTTTTTTTTTTTTTGTCAATAAAACCCTTAACTACAAAAGTAATATCATAATTTTGTGGTTTAGTGTTTGGAACATCAAAAGAAAAATGAATGTGTGACCTAAGAGCAGACGTGGTGGGGCTAAAAACATTAATAATGTAAAGACACAAACAAAAAACCCAAACCAGAACCTGGTGATCGTTGTGAATACAACAGAATAAGGTCATCGTGGGCGTTGCATGTTCTGATTTAGTAGTTTCAAGAGTCAGTCATGCAGTAGCTGTGTACACTGAGGCAGCGGTCAAAAGGCATGTTTCGCTTTTCAATGTGTTCTTTGGTTGGAAGTGGCAAGATGAGGACAAAGTCTGAACAGTCTGCACCAGTCGGAAACTGGGAATAACACAAGTTGCAAGAACTCCCCAGCCAAGCTTGTAAGGAAAGACTGACATGACTTCTTCAGAGAGGAATTCTCTTCATTCTTGTAGAACATATACAATCCTTTCAATACTTTCAGGCCCTTAGAAGGGAAAATATTTCATAATAAAAATGAAACAAAACTGCAGCATACCTTTAAAAAAAAACTGAAATGGCTTCACTGATGTGGACTGAGAACCTCCTGCTGGATAAACTGGACAAAAGCAGCTATAGAGAATCGCCTGTTATGCCTACGTGCTGTTCAAGGTTTGCCAAATCTTTGAGGATTTTATGTGCATTGCCTCTTTATTAGGGAGAAAAAAACAATCAGAAATCTGCCTAGCTGTCAGTGTCCCCGTTGGCTCCTCCATCATTTTATGCTTCCTGGGCATCATTTCTTCCTCTCTTGCCCTTTGAAAAGCCCCCATCGATTTAATGTGACGGACAGAGGAGATGAGAGGAACCGCTCCTCTGACAGCTGTAACACTCTGCTTCCAATTGACCCGGTCCCCTGCTCCCACAGTTAGTCCTGGTTATGGACAGCAGGGGCCATAAATCTCCTATAGTCTGGGTCAAAGGCAAGCAGTGGGCAGGAGGACACAGACCTCTGACCCCTTTGGGCACCGCCGAACGAAGGGCAAAAAGGAAAGATGTGCTGACGCAACACATGGGAAGGCTTCTTTGAGACCTCACGGATTAGCAGACCACAAAAAGAAAAACTTCAGTGTATGCAAAAGGATAATTGTTTTATAATTAGACATAATTTTAAATACCTGAAAGTCCTAGTAAATGAAAGAAGGTCCTGGGCGTCACATCAGGGTAAATTATACCTAGCTTAAATGCATAGAGTCAAGGCAGGCCAGAGGTTTCAGTGAACTTTGTGATTCTGGAGGCAACACGCTTCGACTTAGGCATGAATTATATACGCATCAGTGTTTGCCCTCCATAGCCTTAACAATAAAATGTTAGTTTAGTCAAGCAAACACACAAAAAGGGATGGGACAATGGAACTTTATATAATATTCTGGATATTTCCAGCACACAAACACAAAGATTTGTTTCTCAAATAACTTTGCTTTCAAACATATGTCTCAGTGTACGTCACCCAAAAACAGACGTACAACACATCCAGATTATCCTGAGAGCTTATGTGACATTTCCCTTTCCATTATGTCAATCATCCATGTGACTTTTTTTTATTTTCTTCACTATTAACTCTTCAGTTAATAGAGCTGGGAAATGTATCCAAGAGCGCTATCTCACTATAGCAAGAAAGTTTTTCATTAAAACAAGAAAACTCTTGTTCTAAAGAGACACTAAACTTGATAAAATACGAAAAAAATTCTCATTATAGATGCAAAACTTCATGAAACGTGAAAAGTTCATCGCTATAGACACAGACAAACTTTCTCATATTATAACAAGATACAAAACTCATTGAAACAAGAAAACGTTCTAATTTTAATGAGATGTAACGATACTCTCCTCTGACAGGCGACGACTTACGTGTCTTCTTCATTTTACCCCGTTTCTTAAAGATAACATCTAAAAAAAAATCAATGTTGTTTTCTTAGTGCTGTGTTACAATCTGTCTCATCTACAGGAAAAGATTTTTCGATTTTAATGAGAACTTCTCGAGATAACTTTTTAACGTGAAAGTTTTCTGAATTCTGGCAGTTAAACGCTTCCATACTTCAACATCTTATTTCCCACTGATAACATGAGGAACACAATGAATTAAACAAATGAACATCACTTTTCCCATCAACCCAACTTCCTATTCACTCCTCTCAAGTGGGTCTGCGTGTTCCCATCATTATCTCTTAAAGTCACGCGCTCATTGATGCTCTCTCCAAACCCACTTCCGTCTTCTGCAGGCAAGGTCAGACCCCAACGCTTCCGACAACGCTATTTGTATTCATCACGTCTCCTTTCGCACCAAACAAGCAAACTACGGGCCGGCGAGCAGCAGACGCGGCGCGGTGTCATCACTCTCCTCAGGTGCTCTTCGCATGGCCCCCGCCGTTCATTCCTTCCCCGACGCCTGATTGCGAGCATATCATGGCGCCGTTGGTATTCTGAACCCGGCCTGTCCGGCTTGATGAGATTTCCCTGCGAACGCGGGCCGCTTTCTTTTCTCAACAGGAGACCGGGAATGTCGGTTGCTCTCATCATCACACTTTTGAGTGTTTTGTTGTCAGTGTGAAGGCTGGATGGGGGGCATGGGGATGAATTTCAAAAACAAACATGACAATCAGGGAAGAGCGCAAGGAGCGTTTTACTCTCGGGCGCTTTCTGCCTCGAGGTGTTCAGGAATGCGGCTGACGCGGAGCAAACAGAAAGGAAAGGAGGAGGAGGAGGAGGTGGAAGAGGGCAGCGAGACAGATGGAGGGGTGGAGGGAGGAAGTGAGAAAATGAAGGAGAGGATGAGAGGTTTGGCCGAGGGAGATGTGAGTTAAGGCGGTTCATTGTGTTCAGACTTCATGCTGGAGGTGCAAGGACGATATCTCCTTCAGAACAGTAAACACACCGCGACGCCGCGTGCGCTCAGCCCGTAACAGCTCGCGTTACTTTATTGCTACCCGCATTGTCAATACTGTCGACTATTAGAATCATAATTCACATTTTAAAAAGAAAAAAAAAAGTCATGACAATCTTGAAAAAAAAAATCACGTTTGTTCACTTTATCAAGAGCTTAAGTTAAATTAAAAAGAGACAAAACATTATTTTTCATTAAAATTAAAAACAGCTGCGAAAGAATAGAGATGTCTTCACAGTGCTTTACGCCAAATATCCAACGCATTCATGAGTTGTGGGAGAGCACAGTTTCATCATGTTGAATATTTGGTTCGACCCCAGTTCCTTCTGTGTTCCATGAAAATAAATCACTTTTTTTTCCTCTGGAACTGGAAAAATATATCCAGGGAGCGATTTCCTTTCTTTTTACCCAGCAGGAAAAGAGCTTTTTCTCAAGTGACCGGAGGACACCAGCTGGTGGAAGGATACAGGATGCAGTGGACAGTTTTAAACCTGCAGAAAACAGAGTAAAGAGTCACGTTAAAGCCGGCAGGTCTTGAAATATTAGTCCGCAGAACGGCTTGACTTGTGATTCAGACCTGTGAGGATGGTGTTGCAGTAATCAGTGTAACTACAGATTAATTCATGGATGACTTTCTCAACATCTTGCTGGGACGTTGGTGCTAAAAATGTTATTCAGGTGATGGAAGGCCAGCTTTGTAATTGTCCTTATGTGTCCCTGCATGTTAAAACCCAGATATCAGGTCTGATCAATATAGTTTCAGCAGTATTAGCTGTACCTGGGTGCTGACTCTTCATTACACATCCTTTGTTAAAAAAAAAATTAGCTTATTTTTAGTTTTATTCAACTGAAGAAATTTATGACACCCATTTGTTCTATGCTGACACCCATATGTAATGTAGAGTTGTGTGTCATCTGCATAGTTATAGTAATTATCTTGTTTGCTATTATGACCTGAGCAACAAGGAGCATGTAGGGTGATAAATAGGGATGCCCCAGGATAGAACCATGGGGAACCCCACATGTGATTTTTGTCAACGCTGATGAAAAATTACTTATTGACACAACTGTGTGTGATGCTGTGAGAGCTCTGGGGGAGCCAGCTGCACATCGTCCAAAAGAAAAACAAAAAACAAAAAACAATCCATCATCCGCCTCCTGCTTACGGTCGTCTTCTGCTGCGTTTTTTTCAGCAGTCACATCGGGCTGTCGATCACGTGACTCGTGTGGTGCCGGAAAAGTGTTTCTGTCACAGTCTCGCTAAATAAATCTATTGTTGAAACGGCCAAAAAAAACCTCATCTTAGTGCAAAAACGTCTTACAGAAAAACACAAGAATTGTTGTGCTTCCATTAATCAAATGTATTTTCATAATTTGAGTTTGGGCAATGAAAACATAAGCTGAGCTGAGATCCATTAATTCCAGTAATGTGGTTCTTCCGCAGTGGGAACCTTAACTCTAGTTCTCTTCATGATCATCAAATATCTTCTGCAAAAATGCTTGTTTCATTCCCTGTGACTTTATCCTGCCCTCTAAAAGCAGCAAAGGATTTTTCTTCACCTTAAGGCTAGCATTTTCCCAGTATCCCCAAATTTTGTTTTTTAAAATTTGATTTACTTCAAATAACATGCCAGATATCAGGAAAGTACAAGCACAGCTCTAGGTGATGTTTTTCTGTTTGTTTGTGTTTTTGTAACGACTTGAGCGGTTTCAACATTCGCAAACACGAGCCGTAGGAAGTTCCACCGTTCACAGAAATGGCCTGAGTCTCTCTCACACGTTGCTAGTCTACTGTGTGCCCACCAAGACCACACAGCTGCTGGCAGCAGTGGAATTCAAAGACACTGAATATGTTCATTTAGACTGTGGAACACATTCCCATTTACAAATGAATGGAAGGAGAGACTAACCTGGAGGGGTCCTCCTCCTTAGAAAAGCTTCCCCTCACCTCGATGCTGTTCATCTTATTCTCAAACATCCCATAACTCAAGGTTACCTGCACAGAACAAGTGCAAAAACGCACAGCAATAAGAGAAGGAGCAACCGAGTCTGTTTCTGCACGTTCGGCGGGGATTGCGTGTCGCCGTACCTGCTGCGGGAGGCTTCTTTGATTTATTAGAAGCAGGTTTTCCAAATGCGAGTGGAACAAAGGACAGTGGACCATAGCGACGCCCAGCATCTTCTCGACGATGAAGCCCACGGTGCAGTCGTCCGGGAGTCGGATTCTGGCCGATGTCCGCTCGAAGTGCGGGCCGCTGGAAGAGATTGCGTTTTTAGAGGACTTTGAATTTTGCTCTTTCAGGTGAAAACTTTCTCCCCGAAAAGTCCAACTTTTACTGTAGAGGGGCATTTCAGGTGAATTTGCATTTTGTGGTCCATTAACTATTCATTACTTGTATTTTAGTGCTGACCTTTTTTTTTTTCTTTCCCACAGTACTTAGTATTTTTGGACTGATTCCTCCAACACGTAGCCCTGGGCAGCCATTAGTCTCACCTCTTTGAATGCAGAATAAATACAGTCTTGCAGACAGCATAGATTTACAATGGACCCCTTTTTTATGCCTTATGCTGTTTAATACAGCATGAGTATTAAAATTAATTATTTGTTAATTTTCTTAAAATAAAAATCAAGCTGCAGGTTAACACAGCTGAAAGCAGTTGCTTTCCTTTCGCGTTTGCAGGAGCGTACATGATGAGACATTATTTGCTTTTCATTCATATTTTCTTTTAATATGAATAAAGATGAAAAATGGAAGTCTTCGGGTCTTTTTTCTAAACAGTTGATTTTCTATTAATTAATTGTCCCCATTGCTTGAGTCAGAATTGGACCAGATCCCATGTTGACTGTGATTGATCCTCAATGTTTTCTGCATAGACCGAAGCAAATGACAGAAAAAAATAGTTGTGAAACTGCATAAAATAGTCCTGTTTAATTATGTTAGCATTGAATGTGATAGCTGTGGCTACAGTAATTTTGTGTGTTTTTTCAACCACTTGTATAAGCCATATTGACAAACAGTTACCAAGTTTGATAGATGACATGTCATGTTTCAACCTGCCTTCAATACCTTTCAGCCCTGGCAGCAGCAATAGCTTAGCTGCCTGTGTTCACACTCATGGATGACAGTAGTCTATGAAGTACATTCATAAACACACACACACACACACGTTTTTTTTATATATTTATCTGTACCTGGCCCAAGGAGACATCTTTTCTGCCAGCCTTCGACTCAGACAGAACCCGGCGCCTCCCGTAGCGAACCAGAACCGTACGTTCACCTGACAGACAGCACATGAACGCACGATCAATTCAAATACAGAGAAAATGTACAAATATCTCTTTTTTTATTATTTTACTGTAAAAAGTGCTTAAAAATAAATGTCTGGGTATTTCATTTTTAAACATTAAAAAGGAGGCTCAAACCAGCACAGTCATCTAATATGTGACACATACATTCAATACATGCTGACAGATGATTATATTGTGAATACGGCCAGATTCTGTTGTCTCTTTCATGTCACATCTGAAAATGGAAAAAAATACAAAGGTTTGTCTTCAAATAACCCCTTAACCACTCGTCATATTCATAAGAAATTATACAGATTGGAAAAGGAGCCCTGGCTCAACTTCATCAATTAGGACTATGTTAAAACTGTTAAGTAAATTTGTGCTCTCTCTCTCACACATTAGAGCAGTGGTACATCAGAAAATGTACGTCTGTCTCTGTCATGCATGACAGCTTTTACCTTTTCTATTATTTGCACATTTTTCCTCCCCAAATCCAGATTACTATTAGCTCTTTCTATCCCGTTTTCTAAGGCAGGTTGTGTCATTTTATTCAATCCTGTAAAAAACAGTTTATTATTGGCATATGTAAAGCTCAACATATAGCAATATTAGGCCTGCAGATGGACATTTCTCTTCTTTAACCTCGGCATATTATTTTTGTCTTTATTTTTTAATCATAGCTTTAAACTTTCAAACAACAAAATCCAAGTAACCATTTGGACTAAAGCTTTTTGGATTTTGCAGAATATTAGCAAACAATGTAATTGCATTCACTTCAAGGTCATTACATTTAAATTGACCCATCCATTGGCTGTAGGGTGATGGGACCGAATCGATGGATGGAACCAGGTTTGGTTTTTTTTCCACAGATTATCTTTCTCTCATTATACTGTTACAAAATGGTTACAGTTTTGACAAATATACTGCAGCTTTCAGGAGTAAAGCTCAACTCATCATTTGAACACTTAAAAAGTACAACAAAGCTTGGCCGTCCACCAAGGCTAAACATACAGCCAGACCTAAAACGAAATGGAATTAGCTGAACATATTCATGTTCAAATGGCCTAGTCCAAGTCCATTCTGAATCCACTTGGAAATAGCTTCGCATAAGGGATCTCCAACCAGTCTTCCCGAGCTTGTTCTGTTGTAAAACCTTCGGTCTCTCCATGTGCAAATGTGGTAGAGACGTAGTGCAAAAAAAAAAAAAAATTTACAAAAAACCTGCAGCTGTAACTGCAGGGAAAAATGGTTCTGAGACCACTGACTCACAGAGACTGAATACAAATGTAAATGTTTGTATATGTAAAACTCCAGACTTTTACATATACTGTACAAACATTTGAAGCTTGCGTATCTTTTTCCTTCAGTTATGAAGGACTCTGAGTTTGTCTTTTACTGCAAATCCTAATAAAGTTCATTAAAGTTTCAGATTGTTACTAGCCAAAATGTAAACTTTAAGGAGTATTAGTGCTACTGCTGGCACCGTATACATTCAGAAATGCAATACTTTCTGTGAATTACTTTTATTGAATTTTAAACTGCTTACACCATTCCTTCACTATTTCATCCTAGCCCCTATTTTAATTTGGTTGTTTCTTTATTTTTCTCTGCTTTCATTCTTTTCCCCCCACCCCTCCATTCCTTCTTTCATCCCCCCGCTGCTTCTTAATAGTGCCAGGAAATCGAAAAGAGACGTACAGCTAGATACCAAAAAAAAAAGACAGAGAGAGAGAAGGGAGGGGTAAAGGGAGAGGAGCCTGACATTTGTCTTTATTTTCTCCTCCAGAGAATGAGCGAGCTAAAGAAGGAAGGAAAGAGAGGGAGCAGGAGAGTAACAGGAAGCAAGGACTAATAAAGATCTGTTTTCAATACAAATGGATGCAATCAGAGTAGAGAATGTGGCACCAAAGAGATGAAGAGAGCAATTTCAAGATATGAACAAGAGATTGAAAAGTGCAGAGAGCTTACTGAAATCATGATGCACTTAAATGCAACATAGGCATTAATTCTGTTGGCTTGTGGATGAATTTGCGCACACAAACACACACGCTCTCACTCGCGCACACACACACTCAGAATAGATCTGTGCTCATTACGATCCTGACACCCAGCACCTGTTGTGTATTTAAAGAGACCGTCTTTTGTGTGCAGCGCTGCTTTTGTGTGCATTGAAATCAGACACTAATCACTCAAAAAGGCTCACCAGGTGAGCCGATGCCACAAACACAAATTATTTGCATTCCTCTTCTCTGGTGCCCAGTGGCTTAACTCATGGACTTTCAATGACTGCCATAAATGTTTAATATTTTAAAGAAATTGCGTACGCTGACTAAAGTTAATAAAAACATTGGCAGAACTTTTCAGGCTAGTGCGCCGACAGAAAGAAAAGCGCCACACATTTAACTGTTGAAATATTTTTATTTTACTTTTAATGAAATGCTTACTGGTAATATGCACAACAACTCAATATAAATTCTTTTTCCAAACGGTGCCTGTAACATGGCTGCTCGAAAAGAAAAGTCAGTGATGGAGGTCTTCACACTAAAACCACAAAAGTCGTCTTTTTCTGCCTCAGAGTTACTTTGGGAGACATTTTGTCGGTCACCTTCCTTTCTTCTTGATGTATTAATATAACGTGGCAAAGATATTAAAGTTTTAAGGCTGAAATTCAATACGTAAAAAAAAAAAAGTGAAGACCACAGTAAATAGTCGGCATACCGTTTTATTTCCGTCTAGCAGTTGGTGAGCAGTGATGGGTTTGTCCAGACTCGGCTTGCCCACATAGATGTCGCCCTCCTGTGGGAACGTTGAGAGCAGAGAGAGGAGACCTTCGGGGTTCACATAGTTATCGTCGTCTACGTGGCAAAACCACCTGAAGAAAAGCAGAACGAGGGGGGAGAAAAAAACAAAAACAAACTTACACCTATTTGAATATTTGCAGCGAGACACACTGAAGCTCTCAAAAGTGCTTTTTCACTATGTTGGCTCATTCTTGCAGCACTACCAAGAAGACAATGTGCAACAACTAAACCAAGTAATGACTGAAGTCAACAGTGAAACTTTATTGTACATTTTTTGTTATTGCTTTGCATTTATTGTTTCAAGCTGAAACTGACATTCTGTGAACACTATGGAACAGTTGATTTGTATCTCAGAGATCCTTGAGCATTAGAAAAGTTTCTGTCTTGAGAATGTCATTGGAGCAGTTTGTCTCCTATTCATCTTGAGGAAAAACAGAACATAAGCATTATTATCCATCTCCAGTTAGTGTCCCAATTATTCCTCTGTGATTGCTTTTTTATTAGTGAACCATGTGGTCCTCAGCAGACTATAGCACTGTATAAGCAAACAGAAAACTCATACCCAACCACATTAAAGGTTATTTTGCACAAAATATATATGTACATAATTTTATCTAACTCCATTTAATCAAGAGGCGTGGCTATAAATGTTGGTAACACTTTATTTGACAGGTTGTGAATAAGACTGTCATGACACCGTCATAAACATGACATAACACCTGTCATGAACACAAGCAAGCCTTCATGAACATTTATGACTGTTGTCATAAAGTGTCATTCGGTAAATCATGACACTTTTCATACAAAATTGACATTATTCAAAATGTTTTTGTTATGAGAACTTGTCATCAACCAAGAAATCATGTTCTCACATAAATTTTTCATAAAAGTATTACTGATTAAACTTTAAAAATGATGTAGCTTTATGTCATTAAAGCTAAAGTTGTTGTGTTATGTCATGTTTATGAAGGTGTCTTATTCACAACTCGTCAAATAAAGCGTTAGCTAAATCTCAAAATCTCTGCTTTAATCTATTTTGGGACTGTTATTATTATACATATTTTCATCAGCTTGTTGTAGTTTGAAGAGATAAAACTTTCCTGTTTAATTCAGACATCAACACTAGTTCCGTTGAAGTTAAATTTTGATATCACTGTGCCAATTAGACACGTACATGTTCATCATGGAGTTGAATGTCATGTAATTTTGGGGGTCTTAATGGGATTAATCATAATGCTGCAAAGAAGTTGACTGATTTTAAAGAACAGTAATTGGGTACACAAGTTTCCAAAGCCTAATCCAACCAAGGTCGAGAATGTGTCCTTGAATATAATAATATTTGGTTAAATGTCCTCATTTTAGTAACATTCACACACAGGCCATGTGTGGATTTTTTTAAACCATCAAGAACATTCTTCAAAAATTCTGGCTGCATATTAAATGTGTTACAAAATTTAAAATTAACTCTTTTTTTCTCATTAAAAAGTCCTGATCTGGAACCTTTGTATTCATTTGTCTCTGGTATAACCGTAAAGTTGACGCACAAGCAGCGGACAACAAAATTAACCCTCTGTGAGCCAAGAGAAGCGTTTAATTTTTGCTTCAAAGTATAATCTGATGGGACGCCGGAAAAGACTGCGGTTGTGTGCAAGTTGTGCTTAGAGAAGTTAGCTTATCACCGGAGATACCATCACAATGCTAAACATGTAGCAGCGAACACAAATGTCTCCAATGTCAGCATCCACATTTCAAAAGAAGTATTTTTTTTCAAAGGCGTTCCATAAAAAATGAATATAAAAACACTTTGCACCACCAGTTTGATGGTTGAAGAACCTAAATAACAGATTAAAAACAATAAATACCTTTGTTGTTGAGCTCATACATCTACTTTTTCAATAGTTTAGTATCTAAAAGAGTTTCTGAATTGAAAGTGTTGCTTATTTGGTTGATGCATGGTTTTCAATTAAAATGTGAACAACTGCAAATAATTAATTACAGACCTTGCAATTAACGCCATTAAAGATTTTAATCGAGTCTCCTCCGCTAGTTCAAACACATAATTACAAACCTAAAACAAATGTAATATTGAAAATGAGTGTATGTAAATATCTAAGCGCCACTATATTTACACATAAAAGTAGATTTTATGAAAATCCTAACTCCATTTCAGAAAGAGTCAACCTCCATCTCCTCTAATGATAACACAGGAAAGACGTTTTGACTTTAGTTTTATTCCATCTTGCTAAAAATGGTGATAAATTGTTGAACTTTAGCAGCATTTCTTCTCCATGTCATTCCTTTAACAGAATGAGGGGAGGCCCGACTACAAAAAGTAGAAGAACCCATTTTTATTTAATGATGCATAGATGTACAAGTGGAGCTCATAACACGTTCCTCCCTCCAAGTGTTGGTAAATGAGTTTGGACCGTCACAAAAGCTCTGGAAGGACATAGGATTTTTATTTTTTATTTGCAGAGCAGCTCTCGCTACAAAGCTATTTTTGTTCCGGGTTTCCCTTTCTCATCCAAGCATAATTTTTCCGCTATATTAAACCCAGCAATGAAGCAGCTTGATGTACTTCTCCCATCCCAATTAGTGGACATAATGGCAGAGCCCCCCTTTTTTTTCCAGACCAAAATCACGTCATCCACAACATCAGAGTCCAAGTAACAAATCTGTTGGTTCCAAATGAAAATCGTGTCTTTTTTTCCTCCCCCCGCTGCTGTGCTAGCGGCCAACAAGGGCCGTATTCCAAACCAAACAGCTTTAGTCTCCACTTCCACTGGACTTCAATGAAACCGGTGGATGTTTATTGCGTTTGGGTTAGAACCGGGCAGGCGGAGAAAAAAAACCCCCAACAAACAAATCCTTCATTTTTTTCTACCATCGTTATAACGAGAGTTCGTCAGGGCCTTGGTCACATAAGCAACCACAAGCTGTTGAATTTACTATATTTTCCACAAATAAAAAATATATCTCACATTGCCCGTATACTGTTCAGGAGTGTTTATCTGTATGCGCTATCCAATGCAAATTTAGGCTGGCAACGAGCAAAATACTGGCGTGTCGCCGAAGATATTCAAATTCTCATCCGGCAGCAGGATTTTATTATTCTAATGTTGAGCTGTTTTGAGTGAACATAATGAAAAATAAGGCTCTTGAAGCGAATAAAAAAGTGTATGGTATGAGTTAAGACATTATTATGTAAGAGCTACATTATGAGTATAAGAACAAAAATCAGCAGGGCTATGGAGGACCAAATACATGAAAAAAAATATTTGCTTCTATAGAGAGGTCTTTTGTTTTTGTCAAGGAAAAGAAATACTATCCAAAGCAACAAGGTTCTAAGTGAAAACATAGTAGCCCCAAATTTCACAATTAATCACCAGCCACACACACACACAAGACTGTTGAATCAGGAAGTAACATAAATAGAATCTGCATAACAATTAAGATAACAAAAACATCATTACTCAACATAAAAAGTTCAAGAACAGAAGATAATGACATTTATGGGCCTAACAATTTATTCAGTCATTCCTATAGTTCTGGGGCTTCAGCACTCTCACCTTTAACTGAGCTGTGAGCAGTCTGTGGTCTGCAGGGCGTCTTACCTCTTGTTTGAGGCCATGAAGCCGTCGTACTCGACGGACATCTTGCAGGACAGAGCCTGCTGGCTGTGATCTGATTGGCACCCCGTTACCACCATGTTATAACCTGGACAGCGAGAGGAAGAAATCATTATTTTTAAAAAAGCAACGAGAGGAAAGCTGTAAAAAAGGAGAGTTCAAAAGGAGAAAAGTGGAAATAAAAATAATGCGATTACCTGAACAGAGAATAAGAAATTAGATGAAGAAACAAAGAAACGTGTGTTTGGCACAAGCGCCTCGGACAAAATGCGACCCCACATTCAGTCTTCAGCTTTTTCATAAAACCTCTCCACATGATTTTGAGGCCCCAGCGGCAGTGATCTGCTTCCATTTACTCGCAGTCAGCCGCTGATTTAGGGTGATGAGGTCTGGCCTGGCACTTTGTTTTTAAATTGACCATCCATTAGCTGTCATATCAGCTGGCGAAATAGACTAGAAATGAGAAGCTGGCTGCAGACGAGGAGCCTGTTTCGAGCATTACAGTGGATGTCAAGCGGTAAATCTCTGTCGGCGTCATCGCGAGCAGCAAATGTGCAAGAGTGGACCGCAAGGTTGTAGGTTGTGAGGGGCACGCTGTGTACATGCAGGTGGATGTCCTTCAAATTCGGACTGGCGCGCCTCTCTGTGCCTGTCATGCTGAAGGACGTAAATGTCTGCTCATTCTGTTAGTGTGGGAATGATTAATGTGGGAAAAACACTGAAACAAAATAAGCAGATATGATAGGTAGGCAGATGAAACGTATATAAAAGGAACAAAGAATAAAACTCAACTCAGACTTCCATATCATCTCTTTACTTTTAGGGTATATATCTGAGATGCAGGGCTCTCTGTGTTTACATGGCGAGCTCTTAGCCACTTTGGGGTTTGCAACCTGCGGCTGCATGTGGCTCTTTGGTCCCTCCACTGCAGCTCTTAGAAATTTAGAAAGGAAATGTTTTTGATCATGGGCGCAGAGAAAAATGGTAATTTTAGGAGTTTTTCCATAAGTTCTTATGCAAAGCATCCATGGAGACTTTTAACGTAACTAGCTTCTGATATACTACACATCATTCTTCATTTTCCATATTTATGCAAAAGGCTCGCCTCATTCTACAAAATTGTTTATTTTCTCTTGTAATAGAAGAGACGTTTTGTTCTAAAATCTGAAAACAAAAATCAATCTTCCTTTAATTTTGACAGCTTTCCTAAAACATTTTATGTAGTACGTGTTTAGCAAATCATTTTTGCAGCTCCAGGCAAGTTTTGTCTTGCAGAGGCGGCTCTTTGAATGGAAAAGTCTGCTGAGCCCTGATCTAGAGAGACTCAATATATACAGTAACTTGTGAATGTATTTATCAATCTTGCATTCCAAATTGTACGTCTTTCAATGGGATTGTCATAGAGCAACACAAAATAATCCATAATCGCAAATTGGAAGGAAAGAATACTGCAAAATATTTGCATTAATTTGCATTCAGCCCCTTTACCATAACTCCTCCAAATAAAACCCAGTCCATATTCAGTATCCACCTTGTAAGTGAATAATCAGAGAAACAATTAGTATCAAGAGCTGCAGAGATACAAACCTCAGCTTCTATTGGCAGGACTATTAACGTCCTTATACATAGGAGACAAAACCAAACTTTCACAGAACAAAACCAGACCTTCCAGCACCAAGGTATGGTCCAAGACCAGACCTTTCAAGTCCAATGCCAAGGCAAATTGTTTAGAGTTCAACTAATTTTTTTAGCACCACAAAATGCAAAAATAAATTGAAAAAGGATTCATTATTCAAGCAAACAATTTTTTGGTACCAAGTTAATAATTGCTATCATAAACTAATAAGTTATCAATTGCAGCCACATACTGACACATGACCTCTAAACTTCATCAACTTACATTGTCCAGGAGGTGAATGATAAATTTGGAAAACCAGTGAGAGAGTAATAAAGTTTTGCTACGTCTAACATGGAGTCAAGACCAGCGCTTGACTCCCTGGACCTCACAGTCCAAGGTATGCAGTGGCCCAGTCAAAGTCCAGATCTATATTCAGTTGAGAATCTGTTGACTTACCCTTTGAACTTAATTCTTCATCCTCTTTGTCTGTGAAAATGAATGTCTAAAAAAAGAACAAAACACAAACACATTCCTTTAATTACCACTAGTTATTCTTTGTTTTCTTCCACCACATATTCTAATTAGGGGACAATTATCAAAACTGTTCCATTTCAAGATATGTTACCCGTTTACATGAAGCCAATTTGGTGAAATATTAATATTGTTCCCCAACTTCGGGTTGAGTAATGAACAGCACAACAACACATATGCAGAAGCACACACAGTCGAAGAGGCTCTCTGAAGCATCACTTGGTTGAATCAGTCTCATGTTTACCAGCTAATAAACTGTAAATCACATATTGAGATTCCTCCTTATTTCCCTAGTTTGCACCCAACCAGGCAGACAGACGGCTCCAGAAATCAAACTGCAGTGCAATACTGCCATCTGGTGGTGCAAAACCCGGAAAGGAAGACATTTCCTACAAGTGGATTTCATCACCAGGGTCATTTTTGTAAATACTAAATACCATTGTGTTTTTATCAGTAATTAAGTTTAAGACAAGTCGGTGTTGTACACTGCACAAAAGAAACATCCAAGATTTTTTTATGTTTACACGGTTTAGTTTTGTTTACTTTTTGTGTAAAACACTGTACAAATTATATTTTTACCTGATTTTTGAAAAAAAAATATTACAATAGGAAACTGAGAAGCTTGTCATGTGATATTTATACAACTACTTAATAACAAAACGCAATTGTCTTGATTTATCAGATTTCCTAGACATGTATAAGGTTCATCATTATAGTTTTTTTTGTCGTTCTTTTGGTTTTTTGTTTGTTTGTTTTTTTTTTACAAAACTCAAAACTGATCCACCGTGAAAGGAAAGAGCGGAAACTTTCAGGTGTGCAGAAACTGATGAGGCTTGCTCCGAGGGTTTGGGGAAATGACTCCATTTGCAGAGTTCATCAAGCTGAACCGTTTGGTGCGTTCGTCTGTCTCTGCCAGCGGGGCAATAAATAACCTCAGAGTGAGACAAATCACCTGTTAGATAAGAGAGAAACAAACACTGACTAATGTTTTATTCAAAGGGCCTTAATTAATGTTTTGGCTCCAGTAGAAGCAGCTTAAATATTCAGTTCCAGATTTGTTGAAGAAGGTTGTGCCCAGTGTCAAAGGATGTTGATGAAAAAATTAGGATGAAGTAACAATCAAATATTATTAGTACTTGATAAAACATTACAAATATTTAAACCAAAAGTTTTGATCAGGAATGTATGATATATTGCCGCTAATATTTTAACTGGCTGATATGTGTAATTTTTTAGCATATCAGTATCGATCCAATGAATAAAACTTGGCCGATATGACCAACCAATATTTATTTTTATCTTGTTGCCGTCTGTTTCTGGTCTTTTTTCACTCCAAACGTGTCAAAACAGTGGTGAAATATATATTTATATATTTTGATGGACGGACAGACACACAGATAGATCTGAAAATATCGTCTACAACAGCAATATTGATATTGGATATCGTTATCGGCCCAAATTTTTATATTGATGCATCCCAGGTTTTGACACCTGTAATCTTCCGCTAAAGCAACAAGATGACAGAAATAACATCAGTATATTGATGAAAGTGGAAAGAAGACCAAAGATATACTATTTTAATTAAGAAATACATTCCCAGTAAGAAATATAAAACTTAAAATATCCCTAATTCATAAACTGTGTTTACGATATAAAAATGTTGTGATAGTGATAGTAAGAAAACGACAAAGTTTTTTTTTCCTATTCACATGTGGAGTTTAACTCCTTTGAACTAGCTTCAGGTAATATTTACAAAACAAACTCTCTCAAAATAGAATATGAATGTAAGTACACATGCATTAAATTTAGTTGAGGTTGCAAACTCTCTTTACATATATTTAGCTTCATCATTAGTCAAAATATTCATATTGAAATGAATAAATATGGTAAAAGCCACTATAATTAGTCTTATTTGAACAGCAGAACATGCAGGGAATATACTTATTTATTGTAGAATAACTCACTCCAGGTTTAACCAGCTGTTTGTATTGACCTTTTCACTTTGGTCTCAATCTAATGAGGAACGAAATCATTACAAATACTCTTTTATGCTTGTGTGTGTATGTGTGTGTATTTTTACTAATAGTTTAAAAGTTTTACACAGCTATGACAGGGGTCTCAAACTCCAGTCCTCGAGGGCCACCGTCCTGCAACTTTTAGTCGTGCCTCTGCTGCACCACCTGAACAGAATAATTAGGTCATTAAGACTCTGGAGATCTTATCTACACAATGAGGAGGCATTTAATCCATTTCGTTCCAGAGTTTTGTACCTGTGGCACATCAAAAAAAGTGCAGGAGTGCGGCCTTGGAGGACTGGAGTTTGAGACCCCTGATGTACGATGTTGCTTCAAGTAACTACTGTTCAGCTTAGAAAAAGTTTAATGATTCTGAACATTTAAGACTTTTCAAAGAAATGGCTAAATGGAGTCCAGACTCCCTAAAACATTTAAATTGTCTTTCAATTTAACTCTGAGGTGAAAAACGAAAACTACACATCAACTTTAGCATTTAGCATCACCAGCCACTCCTGGTAATATGTCAGGAGTGGTATGTAACCCACAGGCCATGCCGCCCTGGCATAGAGCCATATCATCCATCAATAATACCCAAAACTGACTACAATAATACACTGATTTAACAGTCTACATTTTGTACATCTTACCTTTTTGCCTATTTTTATCAGGGTAACTAAATTGGGACTGTCTTTTATATTGTGAATTAAATTCTGAATGGGTCACAAACATTCATCTTGACTAATTCCCCCACATAATACTATGCCAGATTTTTTTTAATGTTTATTTTGTCTCTCACTTTCATTAAAGAAAAATCAAAAAAAAAAATTTAAATGCCGAAGATCACATGACACCAGACCATCTACTGTGACCATGTGCCTGTTTATTACAATTTCTTGCTACTTTCAGTACAAGAGGCAAACCCTCTATTGAACACACCATTAACTGTTTTATTAAAAGCTAAAGAAACTTTCATTTTAATCCTCTTTCTTCTTCCAGGCAATGTCAGTCAGTCACTTTGTAGATTATCAGTGTAATATAATTTTAATAAAAGTGAGACTCTTCTCTGCCTCATTTGTCGTCCCAAAAGCTCTTTTCCAAACCTGATTTGATCCCTCCTTGTCACTTCTTGGTCAGTTGAGTTGAGCAAAGGAAGAGGACTAATAAGACAACTTTTCATCTTGACTAATTCCCCCACAGCTCATAAAATGTTGGCCTGCAGTGCCTTGTAAAAAGAATCAAGCACACGCCATTATTCTTGGTTTTAAAAAGAAAAATGGTGACAAGTTTCAGTGATGGCGCTACTGTCCAGTGAGACAATGACTCAAACACACGTTGATTTTAAAACCGTTCAGACACTGACACCAACATCAGCCTGATGGGTATTGTGTGTTTTCCAGACACATAGTGCCATCTTACAGCATAATCAAGTAAACATGTTGCCTTCACTTGTTCTAAAGATGCTGCATTCATGAAACATAACTTAAAAGAAATTTCACTTATAAATCTGACATCTTGAAATTGGGCCTCTGTCTCTTTAAGAAGCTCCTGCTCTTTCTGAACCTCCGCCTTCAGGAAGTCTTCAATCACTACAAAGTTCCACTATGTGTTTACAAAACATTCTGAGGAGCGTTGAACTGTTACGCCAGGTGTTTGCTAATTCCTTCTGGCTAGTCTGAAGGATCTGAATGAGGAAATAACAGTATGTCCTAATGTAAAGCTAAAAAAAAGTTAATTTTACATAATGCAAAATAAAAATATAAAATTAAGTGGAAATTTGGATGTGTTATGATCGACGATGCCGATCATTTATATACAAAACAAAATCAGGCAAAATATTAATTTTTCCAAATCAGTTTGTTTCAATAAAAAAATAAACTTGTGAAACTTTATCAAAAACTGTAGATATGTGTCTTTGTGAAATTCTTGGTTAAAACATGTTTGTTTTTCTTCCAGTGGGTAGAGCGTCCAGAATTTTTACTCAAGTAAGTGTGGAAATACTTCATAATAAAATCACTCAAGTAAAAGCAAACAGTACAGCGCAGTAAAAATACTTCCATAAGCGCATTGAAAAAAAAGTTGCTGAAGTAAATGTAAACAAGTAAACGTAACAATTTATACTACCCAACTCATAAACATTTGTATCTGTAAACAGGGAGCCTCTGTAATGATCTTTTACCCTGCTTCTTTCTGTATGACGAGGTTCATTCTGTTCTGCAATCTGTGTCTCCACTTCCTGTTCTGTGACCAGTTTCCGTTTCAGTATTGTTAACAGAGTCGCTGCGCGGCGGCTGCTTCCCCTCAGCCGAGGCAGCCTGCCTGCAGAGCTTCCTGTGTCTTTGTGTTGTGTGCGTTCCCGTGACTACATGCGGCCTGGTTTGAAAATGTAAACGGTATTTGAGAAACTGTTAACTTTTGGAGATAATCTGGGGGAGATATTACAAGGATTAAAAATTTTAAAAAATTAAAAACATTTAATCCTGTTTTTTGTTTTAAAAAAAAAAGAGGAAGTTTCTGTGTCTTGACATCTTTTTCATTCGTGATTATGACTTTTCTTCAAAGCCTCTGTTCTAACTTACATTAAAGAACAAAAAGCAGGAGCTGACACAAGGAATGTGTTCACATTTTCAGCAAAAAGGGGAAAAAAGTCAATTTAATCAAACCAGCAGACATTATATTTATTTGATAACTCTATAACTCTATTTTGACGTACATAGAAATGAGCATATGTACGTCAATTATGAAATGCATAATAAACACAGCAAATGGAGGCACTTTTGACCGAGGCTGCAGGTTTTGCAGCATTTCATGTCATTGCTATTTATTAAGCTGGAATAAAATCCATTGCTGAAATATTGTTGTTGGAGAAATTTGCCTTCAGGCCCTTTTAACATCATCAAGCTCTTCTAAATGTGTAAAAGTCTCAATGAAACCAAAAAGTCAAACTTTTAACCTGAGTCAATGTATGCAGTGAACACAAAGATACTTTAAAAAAAACAAAAAACATAACTGTTATAAATTTGAGAGTATTGCTGGAGCACTGCAAAAACACAAAATCTTACAAAGTATTCTTGGCCAAGTTTCAAGGTGATATCTCGTTATACTTGAAATAAGACAAAAATAAATTGCAAGTGGCTTTTCAGCACAATGTTTTAAGTTTGTCTTTGGTCAATAATGATGAAAAGTTTTCTAACTGAAATAATCTGCCAAGATATCTGAGGCTCATGGGGAAACTTTGAAAACATAAAAACTGAAACTTTAAAGAAAAGAGTGTTTATTTTTCTACATCTCCAAAGCAAAAAACTAAGTGGAACTTTTGATGCTCTAAAGAGCAAAATGAAAATAACTCAAGCAAAATAACTTTTGCTCTAATCTGCGTTTTATTGTTTTCATTGTCATCTTTTGATTCTTTTTTGGCATATTTAGAATGTTCATTGATTTTACCTGTACATTGTTTTAAGGGTCTTTATATAAATAAAGCAGTAGTAATAGCAAAAATTTGCAAAAAAAAAAAAAAAAAAGACAAAACAAAAAACAATAAAATCGTGTGTGTGTGTGTGGTGGATTGTTTTGGTTAAAACTTGTTTGTTCTTCATAGTTACTCACAGTCAGCCAAGTGACACTAGTGACACTTTATCATAACGTTACTCAAATAAAAGTACAGGGTAGCAAAGTTACTCCTAAAAGTACTCTTTGCCCCCCCACACCTCCTCCCCGAAAAATAAAAACAGTTGTCCAAGTAAACATAGCCCTAATGGATCGACGAAAGTTCAGTTCAGTAGAAAAAGATACATTATTGTAAAGTTAAGCTATTATATCTTCTATGTCAAAGTGTATTAATCTAATAAGGTGACAGTCATTTAAGGCGACATTATTGCCTTGTTTATCAGATCTCCTGTGAGGCGGTTGTGCTTTTTGGCTGAGAAGTGATGCGGACACTCACGTGCGCCTTGGTCCTTGAGATCCAAGTGTCCAAAAGGAGCGCGAGACGCGTCTCGTGGAACCTCGCGGTGGTTTTTACAGCCACGTAAATGTCGTCCAGTCTGAGTTTGGGCTGCGTGGCGTGGACGCGCTCAGCCGCCGACTCTCCTCCGTTATTTTCACCAAGTGTGGCCTCTCTTCCGCCGTTGATGCTGCTGCTGCTGCTGCTGCTGTTGTTGTTGTTGTCGTCATAAACCGAGCTGCGCGCGGAGGGAAGGTGCCCGGTGGAGCCACGGCGCGCGCCGACCGCGTTCGATCTGGTGAGGCTGCTGGTGCGTAACCGAAAATCCACAAAGACAACGATGAAAAACGTGAAAATCAGGACAGCCAGGCTCCGACGGGCCCATCTTTTACGCATGGTGCACCCAAAAAGTTAAATTTAAAAAAAAAAAGAAATTTTTAAAAAGTCCTCAAAGATACTAAACTATCACACACACAAAAAGAAAAATTAAAAAGAAAAAGTCCTCGAAGATATTAAACTTATAAATCCGTTTTTCTCATTTTAATCCAAACGTTTTCGGACTACACTTGTAGCGGTTCCTCTTCCATCAGTGTGTCTTCTTCCTTCTTCAGCGTCACAGTTCCTTTTATGCCCTCAACTTTTCTGACGGTTTCATGACAATCAGAGCGATTTCATAATACTGATCTTTTTTTTTTTTTTTTTGGTGTGGGGTTAATAATAATAATAAATCATTGCATAAATACAATTAATTGCAAGAGTTGAAAAAAAGCCCCTACCATGAATTACTCTGTTTTGAGTCAGAGTCCTGCTCACAGCGCCGCCTGTCACTGCGGCGTCACGTTGGATGGAAACACCTGAGAGAGGATTTCCTTTCTGTGCTTTCAAAGTAAAGCAGCAAAAGTCTTTCCTGTCTTGGTTCCAGAATGTCATTAGAGGAACGACCGTGTTTGATTAAATCTGGAAGAATGCAAAATATGACTCGCAAGTTTTTACTTAATCACAAAGTTATTATTATATGTTTGGCTCCATTTCAACACAGATTTCTGGACGATATTTCTGGATTTTTTTTATCTTGTGAGAAATTGTCCTGGCGCCAAGTCAAAAGTAATTTACGCATACTCCTTGAACTTTTTAACATGTATTCAAATAACAATGTCGAATGTATTTAATTTTCATTTGATGTGACAGACAGACATAATAAAACATAACAAACCTTCAGTGACCAACTGCTGCATCCTAAAGAAGTGTTATGGGAGAGCCTTCCTTTTTTCCTTTCTTCCTTTGCTTGCTTCCTTCCTTCCAGCAGCTGATAGAATCCAAAACCATCAGAGTTCCCAACAAACCCTGTGTTTTTTGTAGCTCACAGTCTTGTCACTTTTAGTGACTACAAACTGTTTGTAGGTTTCCTATATTGTAAATAGTCTGTTTTAATCACATTATGTACATTTTGTTTTTAAAATGCAGTTGCATATTCCTTGAATCTGAATTTTTTTTTTTTTTTTTTTTTTTTTGTTATCCTGTAACAGGTAGTATTACAGTAAATCAAAATTCACCTCAGACTGAAGGCACTCTGTTGCTGTAAATGTTCAGGATTGTCTGGACATTTCATGAACAATCACTATTTGCTCAGTCATCTGTAGAAGTTGAGGTGCAATCCCCAGAACAACGCCATTCATCTTCAACAATTAGTGAATAGATAAAGACAATTCATTAATTGGAACATTGGAAAGAGGAAACCAGTATTGAGGAAAAACCATAAAAAGTCTCATTTACAGTGTTCTTGTGAGACCCAAGTATTGAAAAACCTGCGATCCCTTTACACCAGCACCAGGACTTTGAAACTCTGTTTTGTTCACTTTGGTGACTTTTGTCTTGGTGTATATCATGAATATACTGCAGAAATACCTAAAGAATATTCTATGTTTATTGTTGAAAATGAACATGATACAGGTGGAAAAGTCTGCAAATCTAACAAACAGGGTCCTGTGTTTATGGCTGCATTCACAAAATATTGTCCCAAAGCATCTTGTATTTGTAAAGGAATGAAATAGCTCCCAGTGGTTCACTCTGATCTGGTGGAAGTCAATGCTCCATCAACTGTATACTGTTCCCAGCTCTGCTGTCTCCAGAGACTGCTGCCAAAAAGTGAAAGAGCTCGATACAATTAATTCACCTCAGACCCTCATCGCCACCTTTGTTTATTTGTCCTTTCTCAGCGTTCTTGCCTTACATCAATCCCTCCATCTCCGCCTCCTCCTTTCCCGTAAAAGAGCCGGGACAACGCCTCCCTTCCTCACCACTCTCAGTCCCGCGGGTACACCAGAGACGCCCTGGGCCAAAAAAGACCTAGCATCACCTTACGGCCTAGCTGAAAAGTCCTCTTCCTAAAGCAGCAAGCACAACACGGGCCTCGCTTTGAACAAAGGACCAGTGGAGTTGAGGGACCAGAGCACCTTTCAAGGCTTTGTGCCTGAATTAAGGTCGGGTTCAGGCTGAGACTGGGACTGAGAGCAGGAGATTGGGGATACACACCAAAGAAATGTTCAGATCAATGGAGAGAAAGTTGTCCATAAATGGTCCAATTAGAAAATAGACCTAATCAGTTGATTTAAGAATAACTAAAAATTTGAGATGTTGGAACAACAGACTTTTAACTAAGAATGGTGGTTAAAAGCCAGAGTGCCCAGTCAAAGCCCTGGGGAGAACATGGGAGCTCAATGTAGAAGACCTCAAGCCAGGATTTCAACTCAGGACCTTCAAGAAGAAGTTCTTTTACATTTACGCTGACGTCATTGACTGTTGTGGTATTGCTGATATCAGCCACCTCACAAGGCCCGTGTTGTCCGTATCCCCAAATGCACCTTGGATTAGAAATATCCCAGAGGAAATTTGAATATGTTGTTCCCAAATAAATGAGTCATTTGTTGTATAATACCTCCAACAAAAGAAACAGCTCAAATGCATCAACTCCCAAAGTAATAACTGAGAAATAAAGTTGTAAAAAGGCTGGACAAAAAATTCTATCAGCGTTTGGAATTACTTAATAAATTACTTAATATTTTATTTTTTTTCAAGGGCTTAAAAATGACTAAACGATATTGTGACGCGCCTGCTTTATTGCACATGGTCGGCAGATGGCGACATAAACTTGTTTAAACATTCTTTCTTTCAGTCCTTCAAATATTACTCCAGGAAGCAGTATGGTAAGGGTGTGTGTGTAAAACAAAATAGATCAGAACATTCAATAGAATCTGCTTCTAAAAGTAAAAAATATATGTACTTTATTATATTTTATTATCTTCATTTAGTGTGTGTTAAAGATACAGTGCTAATAAACATTTATTAACTGATAAAAATGTTCATTTGATCGTATTTATTACCATTATTTACTTTTTTTTTTTTGTGCGTTTAGGGTACAACTCAAAAGGAAGTGGCGTGTTTGTTGGTGTTTTATTTGTGCGGGCTGATCCTTTAGAGGCGTCCCATGCCTGTCAGACAGCGCTCAGGGCAGCACAGCGGGCGCGTAATAAACATTGCGGAAGCGCTCTCTCCTTCACAACTCCTCGGGAGTCAGGGAAAGTTTCTTTTAGGAGGAACGGCGTCCACTGGCAGCTCAGGAGTCGGAGGAGAGCTCTGCCCAGAAATGGCTCGGGCTAACATCTCGGTGACAGAGAGCCAGTTCAGGTGTCCCATCTGCCTGGACATCCTCAGAGACCCGGTGTCCATCCCGTGCGGACACACCTACTGCATGGTGTGCATCAGCAACTACTGGGACCAGGCAGACGCGGGCCAGTTCCGTTGCCCACAGTGCCGGGACGTCTTCAGCCCTCGGCCGGTGCTCCGGAGAAACACGGTGCTCGCCGAGGTCGTCGACAAACTTATGCTGAGCGAGACGGTCCACGAGCCGGAGCTGTACCAGGGCGAAGCCGGCGAGGTGCCGTGTGACTTCTGTCCGACTGAGAGCAAGCTGAGGGCGAGCAAGTCGTGCCTGGTCTGCCTGGCCTCCTTCTGCGACTTCCACGTCCTGCAGCACCGCCAGGTCGGACCTCTGCGGCGGCACAAGCTGGTGGACGCGGTGGAGCGGCTGGCGGAGAAGCTGTGCGCCCAGCACCGCCTCGGCCTGGAGCCCGGGGGGAGCGGCTGCGAGGCGGAGGCCGAGTGGAGCAGTGACTGCCCCCTGTGTCAGGCTGACCAGGAGGAGGAGCGCAGGGCGGACACGCTGAAAGCCAGGAGACAGGTGCCCGGTTAGACTGGATGTGGGACAGGGGCGGTCAAAGGAAGCTTTGTACGGGGGCTTCTGGTGGGGTACCGTGGAGCAAATGGTTACAGTAGTATAACAAAAATAAAAGTTCATGGTTTTCAAACACAAAAAAAAATGATCTAAAGCTAAATTCGAACAACACTAAAAGATGACAACGTCACTGTTTTTATAAGATAATTGCCCTGTACCGCTTGTATCATTTTTTAAAATTTATTACTCTATATTCAATGCACCATAACTTCAGAAACATAAATTGTCATATCAAGGCGATTTTGATCATAAATATAAAAAGATGCGCTTTTGAGAATGACACATTAACCTGTTACAGCCCATTTAATGTGGATAATAAAAATAGTTTACGATTGATACTTAAATGCACCATCCTGATCCAGGTGTCTTCTGCAGAATTATGAGCTGGCCCTAAAAATCCACACACTGGAGGCTTAAACTGCAAAGGAGAAACGAGTTCTGGATTATTAAACTGTAGTCCTTTTATGAGCTTAAAAATGAAACATTTTCCCCCATTTTTTATCTTATCTGAAAAGCAGAGGTGTTGCATTAAATGTCCTCCACTTGCTGATTTATTTCCACACTGTGAAATGTCTGATTTCAACCAGACCCACTCTTTGTTAGGTCTTTTGGTGTTCACACATACTTCAACAATCATCAAGCTGATTATCTGAGATGTAAACAGGGCGAACCACCTTTAAAAAGCTGCAGCAAAGTGCTAAACATGTGCACCTGTCGTAAAAGGTGTAAATTTAGATATTTTATGGAGGAACAAACGAAGGGATGACCTAATTTAATCCTTCCCAGAAGTTACATTGTTACAGAAAATGTTGAAAAGTATTTTCTTCTGTTTTTGGGGTTTGTTTGTTTGTTTGTTTACTTTAATTATAGGAATTTCAATCTTGTTAAATTTGACCCCCAAACATATGTTTGCTTTTTTCCCATGTGATTGTAAGTCAGTTTGACATCGTACACTCAACATTTCCTTAAGGGCCAAGCTTCAAGTAACTCTGCAAAAGTTGCAAATGGATTGTTAATTGGATTCTTTGGATGAATCCAATAAACAGTCCCGTTTAGCTCAGATGATGGGCTTTGCAAAATCTGAATTATTGTGTCTAAATGCATTTGAAGTTGTAAGTCAGTTGTCAAGGACTTTGTTTTTGCGCTGGTGTCTTCCTGATGTCGGCCACCTCCTGATTTGTCCGGTGATCTTTCAGCTCCAGCTCCAGGAATCTCAGAGGACGGTTCAGGGAAGGATACGTACCGGAGAGAGGGACCTGGAAGAGCTCCAGCAGAGCTTGGAGTCCCAGAAGGTAACAAAACCATCACACACACACACACACACACGCACACACACA